TTAGAATAATACATATCTTTAAGATAGATCAATACCCAACATTAAGTTTTTTGATGATTAGATTTTTCATACATTTAGCATCTCTTGTTTTGTAGTTCTTTCCCACATATCTAACAAATAGTACTGTGATTTAAGCAAACCACATATTTACTCTGTGTTGCATTTCCATTGATGTAGGCTTATAGAAGAACTCCCAATGGGATAGATCTAAACTGAGAGAAAAAAGTTTTAATGCATTTTTTATGGTGAATTATTTGAGGCCTGTGTGTCTGAAATCTTTTAGTTTTTACTTTAGATCTTTTCTTCTGATTATTGCTGAAAAAAGTCTGCTGTCATTCTCATCTTCAGACATCTACATAATACAACTTTTTCTTCTGGCTACTATTAAGATTTCTTGTCATCGTTTTATGTATTTTGATTTTGTTGTATCTTGGTATAATTTTCTTCATGACTCTTGTGCTTGAGATTTCTTGAGCCTCTTAAATGTGTTTATAGTGTTTATCAAGTTGGAAATTTTTAATCTATTGTTTTTTTAAATATTTATTTTGTCCATGTTCTACTTTGGAGACTCTTAATTATATGCATTAGTCGCCTGCAGTCATCTCACTATTAACTGATATTCTGTTTATTTTTCTTTTAATTATATTTTTCTCTCAGTGTTTTATTTAGGGTAGTTTTTGCTGAGATGATTTTTTTATTTTTTTAGAGACGGAAGAAGGGAGGAGGGAGGGAAAGAGAAAGAGAGAGATAAAGAAAGAGAGAGAGAGAGAATCTATATGAGAGAGATACATCAGTTTCCTTCCATATGCTCCTGACCACTAATTGAACCTGCAACATAGATATGTGCCTGACTGGGAATTGAAACTAAGCCACTTTAAGTTCACTAATATTCATCATGCCTAGTAGTCTACCTTTTACATACAAAATATAGTTATAATAACTTTTAATGCCATTGTTTATTAATGCTATTATCTGTGTCATTTCTGGGTCTGTTTCTGTTGTTTGTTGCACCCCCATTATGTGTTTTATTTTACTTCTTTTCATGCTTGGTAATATCTGCTTGAATGCCAGAAATTTTACCTGTTCAGTGCTATTATATATTTTTTTTATATTTTTGCTAATATTCTTTACTTTTCTTGGGGACACAGTTAAGTTACTTAGGAACTGTTTGAAGCTTCCTTTTTTTTGTTGTTTTTTGTTTTGTTAGACAGAATCACATTAGTCTTTTGTCTAGGGTTAATTTTCCCCAACTAGTGGAGCTGTACTCTTTTAAGTATTTTACTTGATGCCTTGTGAATTACAGTGTTTTTGTAGTCTGGCTTTTGGGAATAGCCTTGTGAGCCTTGGACATCATTTCTATGCCTCACATGCATATGCTAATCAGTACTTAGCTGAAATCTAGAGTGATCCCAGATCTTTAGAACTCTTTCTTTGTAGCTCACTCCTCTTATCTGTTACTCTAACCTTCTAACTCCAACTACTTTCCCTGCATAGACTCTCAGTTGCATTTCCTCAAATCACAGAGATTTCTGGTCACCAGGATTCCCTCTACTTACATTACAACCTAGAAATTCCTTCAGTCTGTAAGCAAGGGCAGGTGTAGTACTCACATCAATTCTTTTGCTGCTCTTAGTGATTGTCCCTTTTTAAGTTGGAAGTAAAAGTCCTAAGATTTAATTTTTTTTTTAAATTACATTTTGGTTGAGAAGGTGCATGAAAATACATTCCTGATAAAGAGAGTGAACTTTAGTGTCAGAATTCAGTCAAGGCTTAAATACTTTCTTTTGTGTAAGACACGATGTGTTGTGCAGTACACAGAAATATTAGACCTGTCCTCAGCTCTTGAAAAGAAACATAAAACAGTACAAATCAGCAAAAAGATGTGGGCACTCATAGTCTTGAATTCTGTTCCATCAAAAGCAAAAAATTGGTATAATTTCTATTGAATTCCCTTTCTCAAGATTTTTTGGAATCAAATAGATTCATACATTTATGAATGTATCATTTATCATTCATACATTTATGAATATCATTTATCAGCCATTTATCATCTCAGCTAAGAAATAATTTTACTAGTTACTATTCCTTACTCCATAGAATAATATATTACCTCTTTACTAGAGGCCTGTTGCACGAAATTCATTCATGGGGATCCCCTTAGCCCAGCCTGTACCCTCTCCAATCCAGGACCCCTTTGAGGATGTCCTGCTGCCAGTTTAGGCCTGATCCTGAGCATCAGGCCTTAACTGGCATCGGACATCCTTCACACAATCCTAGACTGATGGTTCCTAATTGCTCATCTGCCTGCCTGCCTGGTTGTGACTAATGCTGGCCTGATTGCCCCTCACTGCCTCTACGTGCCAGCCTGATCACCGCTAACTGCGCCCCCCTCCTGCCACCGCCCTGACAGCCCTTAACTGTCCTCCGCTGCTGGCCAGGTTGCCCCAGCCGCCCCCTCCCTGCCGGCCAGGTTGCCCCCAGCTGCCTCCCCACCCGCCGGCCTGGTCACCCCTTACTCCCCCCCCCCCCCCCCCCCCGCCACCAGCCTGGTAGCCCCCAACTGCCCCCCTCTGCCGGCCCAGTCACCCCTCACTGCCCCCGTTGCCAGCCTAATTGTCTCCAACTACCCTCCTGTGCCAGCCTGGTCTCCCCTAACTGCCCCCTCCTGTTGGCCCAGTCATCCCGAACTACCCCCTACCCCCCGCCGGTCTGGTTGCCCCACATAACCTGCTTGTTCAGTTGTTTTGTTGTCCCTCACTAATCCCCTGCTGGCCGGGTTGTAGGCAGCCATCCTGTGAGGGCATGGGGGCCAGTTTGCATATTACCTCTTTATTATATAGAATTGTTTAACCTTGCTTAATGAATTAAAAACATTATAGTATATGTCCTAATAAAACTGGGAAGATATTTTTTCAAGGGCAGAAATGCTCAGATACTGTATGGGCATGTAAAATTTTAAACCTATTTTTCCTACTGGGATAAAAGCAATGTAAGAGAGCTGAAAGAATGTGTTTGTGTGAGTAAAGGACTCTTACTTTGAGACATTATTCTTTACTTATATTATTTTGAATCAGGTAAAATCTGTGATACTATATTTGAGAGTGAGATCTTTAAAAGATTATTTGATTTCATAAAGAAGCACTCAGTTAACAAATACAGAGTGGTACCAGAGTAGGTCTACAGTTGTTCGTATGGAAAATGATACAATAATTAATAAACTAGTGGCCCAGTGCACAGATTTGTGCACATTGAAAGGAAATTAATTTTAATATCGCCCTTCACATTTTCTCTATAATAGAAGTATCTACCAAATTCACGATCAATAATGACAGATGGAAACACACAATGCCAGTGAGAGTTTTTTATGTATCACACATGCACAAGTCAACTTAGCCTTTTATAAATATAGAATAAACTTGCTTAATAGAATTTTATAAATATAGAATAAACTTGCATTTTTTAAAAAATATTTTATTGATATTTTGCAGAGAGGAAGAGAGGGATAGAGAGCTAGAAACATGGATGAGAGTGAATCATCAATCAGCTGCCAACTATAGCAATAAAGAGAAAAAATTGTATTCACTAAGAAAGCAAAACAGTCAAACTGTGTTTGGGAAGATAATTCAAACCGCAAAAAATGAGTGCAAATAGAAAATACTAAATTAGAACAAAAGAAGTGGGGCTACAAAAAAGAGGCATTCTGGTTGTAGAAGCACACTGTGGCTTCAGATAAAACTCCCTGTGTGCCATTGAAGACTAACTCAGAAGTACTTCTATACTAATAAAAGGGTAATATTCTAATTAGACTGGATAGACCCAGCATCTTCCAGTTATCTGGTTCTCCTTCCAGACAAAGCCCCTGTGCCAGAGACAGAGGCTGTTAGGGGCAATCAGGCCAGCAGGGGAAGCCTGTTAGGGATGATCAGGCTGGCTGGGGAGGGTGGTTAGGGGTGATCAGGCAGGCAGGCAGGTGAGTGGTTAGGCGCCAGTGGTCCCAGATTGTGAGAGGGATGTCATCCCCTGAGGGATGGAGAGGGTGCAGGCTGGCGGAGGAACACTCCTACTTCTACCCCCTCCCCCCATGCATGAATTTTGTGTACTGGGCCTCTAGTACCTTAATAAACTTATATTGTAAGTGAATATCATGTGCTCTTAGTATTTACAAATACACTACTACTGAAGAGGCATGTGAAGATTTTTGAATACTTAAACGCAAACTTAATTTCAAAAAAAAAGTTTGTATGAGAAAATTATACTTGGGGTTGCTTTTCTTTGTTTTTCAAGAATAAGTGACATTTATTATTTCTTTTAAGTGGAATTATTGTATAAGACAGGCTTTACATTTCTCCACTTATTTTTAGGGCCTGGAAGTAAACATTTAGTACTATATTGTTATAGTTAGATTTATTTATGTCTAACACAGTGGTTCCCAACCTTTTTTGGCCATGCCCCACCTAAGCATCTCTAAAATCCTGATGCCCCCCTGTGACATATTTCAAAAGTGAGTTCCTATTCACATGGAGGAAGCCTAAAAAGCCATTAACTTGGCTAAAGCTTCCAAAGAACATAGCATCCATGAAAGAGAAAAGTAACAGAACGAATGGACAGTTGAAGTACTGAGGAAGAAATCACTAAGAAATTGTTTAAAATAAGAATAATATGAAGTGATATGAAAAAATAGCAAATAAAATTTTGAAACAGAGAGAACTGAAATGCATAAATATGTCAATATATTTATATACTGTATATATAACCATAAGAAATGCAAAAAATTCACTGTTAATAACTCATTCTCAAATTGCCCCCTTAAAAATCAAATTACCTCCCTGTGGGGCATGTGCCCCACGTTGGGAACCACTAGTCTAATGTGTTCCAGAAGCCCTTAACTGATCTGTTTCTTCATCTCAATGCTCCCTTCATTTTCTGGTTCCACATAAGAATAAGGTAAAGTTTGACATTTTCCAAAATATTATTCTTGATAAAGCAATATTTTTGTTTAGGTGACAAACAGCATGTTTGGTGCTTCAAGAAAGAAGTTTGTAGAGGGGGTCGACAGTGACTACCATGATGAAAATATGTACTACAGCCAGTCTTCTATGTTTCCACATCGGTCAGAAAAAGATGTAAGTTAATAAGTTACATTGTGTTTACTTAGTCTGTCTCTTTCTGGTTCCTGAAAAGCAGTGTATGTACTGCAGTGTACCATCATTGGATGAATGACTATCTTTTAGGCACATTTCTAGGCCCACGGATAAGTTATATTCTCATGGGAGACAGAATGTTTTTTGATTCTCAAGTTGAGATATGGTAATGCTGTGGTAGGAAGTATTCAAAGACATGGGGTAAGCTTGGTACTGTTTTAAGATCAAAAATTTTTTTTTTAATTTATGAAATAACTTGTGTTGAAACACACATATAGAATAGAAAGATTTGCATAGATTTCAACCTATAATGACAGTCCTCAATGAAACTTTACCATTGCTTTGTAATCTAGCTATAATCCTAGGTCTCAGAAACAGCTTTATTCCATTGTTCAATTGTGGGGATGCAATAATAGAAAAATTTTTGAAGAACTATATTCAAGTTATGGAAGATCATATAGAGTTATGAATTAAATGCTTTGGAAGGCTAGTTTAATATTCCCATTTGAAATGAAAGGATTTAGGACATAGCCAAGTCATAATTAGCCAGTTGATAAAATATTTTAAATGAATTCAGTTGTTATTTTCAAATTCTGGTAAACTACTTTAAATTATACACCATATAGTAAATCTTCACTTAACATCATTAATAGGTTCTTGGAAACTGCAACTTTAAGCGAAATGATAGGTGACAAAACCAATTTTACAATAGGCTAATTAACATAAACAAGAGTTAAGTTCCTATGTCATATTTGGTCACAAAAAACATCATATTTCTAAAATCCCCAAAACAAATCTAATATTAAACATTGAAATAAACATGAGCTATATATACATTTAAGAAAGATTAATAAAAGCAATTAAGAGAATTATTTTCTAACCTGTTTTATTGCTTGATGCAAGGCAGGACCCAACCCTGGACAGGACACCACATCATTGAAGGGTTCCCTCATAAACACACTCACCCACACTCACTCAGACTGGGACACTTGGAACACGCCACTGAACCTAACAATATCTTTGGGACATGGGAGAAAGCCAGAGTAGAGTACCTAGAGAAAACCCACACAGACATGGGGAGAATGTGCAAATGCCATGCAGTCAATGCTCCCCACTGGGTATTGATCCCCTCTTCCCCTCACCAACACCACCAGCGTAATAGGAGAACCTATATAATTAGAAAAACCAGTTGCAGTCTTCTACTTTGTACTTTTCTTTATTCCCTTACAAATTTGCTGTTCATAATTTCTCATTCTCTCTAATAATATATTCTAGTTGTTAAGCTAATAAGATTTTTAGTGGTGTTTAAACAGTTATAAAATTCTAAGATTATGTAACAAATTCTTTCATTTTTTCATTAAAATTTATCCCTGTGTTTTTTAGAATTTCACAATTTGGCTTTACTAACTAGGTTAAGTTAGGATTTCAGTGGGCTCTTAAGATTTCTTCCCTGTTTTGGTGTTGTTCTCCTTTATATTTGAAAATTGTGTTATTTTGGCAACAAATTATCAGTTGCATTATTAGGGTTCTTATCAAATTATGTGTATAGTGGTTTTCTTTGTACTTAAGTGTACAATTTAATGACTCAGAATATGTCATCTAATTTATTTTGTTATGTTAGTGCTCTAATTATTTGCTATAAATTATAATAGAATTATATTTTACATAATTTGCTATATTTAGGTATTGATCTAGAGTGAAAGATTTTGGGATATCTCTGGTAGCATCACTGCAGAAACTATAAAACTAATTAGTGCGTGTTACTGTGATTATAGCAAAAGTTTATTTTGATGAGGAAATGGCAATGGAATGTTACTTATTGATGAAAAGCATTTCTTTCAGTTAGGAAGATATGAAAATTTCAAATTGATTCAGAACTAAGATATGTGAACAAAATGAATGCTAGAGATGTTTGTCTTCTAGAGAGCAAAGTTTTTAAGTCGGAATTATTTACATCCACTCTCATACTCACATATATTAGTTAGTATTCCAATCTAGTTGTCACAGAAATAACACAGAATGAATTGATTCATAAAACTTTTATTTAATTAAGAAGGTAATAAGACATAGGGATTAAGAATTTGGGCTCTAAAGCAGTAAAGGTATGTGTTTGGGTCTTGCCTTTGTCTATTAGCAAGAATTTTTCCAAGCCTCAGTTTTCTTTCTGTAAAATATACATATATACTGCTACTTATACGTTTTTGCTATTACTAATACTTTTTTAATTATAAAATAGTACAGGAAATTTTAAATATTCATGGGAGAAAGAAAAGTTACCCATAGTATTGATAGTCGGGAATAATTTATTAGTAAAATTTTAATTTTATACTTTAAATATTTTAATTTTAATAATGTTTATATCTTTGGGACATACATATTTTCTATTTGAAAGCTTTTAGCAATTTTTGTTTTCACCAACACACTATGCCCTCAAGAATACCAGCTGTTACCTCTAGATCTTTGCCAATAGACAAAAGAAACTTCCTGTTTTAATGTACAGTAAAATGTTGCTAAACTTTTACACATGCACACACATAGACTGATGTGTCTTTTCCATATAGTTATCAGCCATTTGTATTTTTTCCTTTGTGGACTATCCGTTTTTGTACTATTTTCTATTTCTCTATTGAGATGATGCCTTGTTTATTTGTTGGTGTTTTCTATATATAAGATTAAGAAAAATTGTCATTTGTTACAAATATTTTCTCAGTGTTTTGCTTTCTTTATAGTTTTTTAAATATAAAATATTTTTCTTTTTTACTGAATTTGATTCATCAGTCTTTTTTTATTGTTTGTTTTTTTTGTTTGTTTTGTTTTTTAAATATATTTTATTGATTTTTCACAGAGAGGAAGAGAGAGAGATAGAGTTAGGATCATTGATGAGAGAGAATCATTGATCAGCTGCCTCTTGCACACCCCCTACTGGGGATGTGCCCGCAGCCAAGGTACATGCCCTTGCCCAGAATCGAACCTAGGACCTTTCAGTCCACAGGCCGACGCTCTATCCACTGAGCCAAACCGGTCCCGGCTATTGTTTGTTTTTGAGATCATACTTAGACTTCTAGTGCTTTTGTGCTTCATTCTTCACATATAACTTACGTTCATTAGAAATGTATTTTGGTTTAAGGTGTGCATTTTATGGTGCCAGATTCCTCCTTACTCTGAATATCCACTTGTCCCTACACCATGTATAATTAGCTCACCAGTCAGAAAACTTTTCCATAAATGACCACATAATAAATATTTAAGGTTTTACATGCCAAGAGATTAACTAAATGATATTAAGTAGGTACTTATATAACTTTTAAAAATATTTTAAAAAACATTCTTGGTTCTTGACTCTGCAAGTATATGCAATATGCTAGATTTAGCCTGTGTTCAATAATTTGGCCTACTCTGAGTTAGGCCATTCATTAATGGCTAATTGAAATTTCTTCCATATTATATTCTAATGTTTGATGTACTCTTGGACCTATTACTAAACTCTTTTGTTCTGTTTATCATATTGATTCTATGGCAGAACTACAACATAGTTATAGTTTATAGACAATTTTCACATCTTAGATAAGGTCTTTCCTATCCATTATAAAAATTATTTTGACTATTGCACATTTATACTGGTATTTGTATCTTCTTTTAGAAGAATATGTCTGTTTTTGTTCCTGTTTTTTTTGTTTTTAATATTTTTATTGATTTCAGAGAGGAAGGGAGAGAGAAACAGCAATGATGAGAGAGAATCATTAATTGGCTGCCTCCTGCATGCCTCACACTGGGTATTGAGCCCACAGCTTGGGCATATGCCCTTGATCAGAATAGAACCCAGGACCCTTCAGTTCGTAGGCCAACGCTCTATTCACTGAGCCAAACCAGCTAGGGCCCTGTTGTTCTTTATACCTTTTAATATGTAGGTTTTTATAGTGTTTATTTTTATTGTATTTTTCTGATTGTTTTTTACTGTTATATAGAATAGTTTGTGTATATATTTATAACCTACTACCTTACAAAGTCTTTTATTAGTTTTTGTTGATTGGGAATGTGGATTCTAGAAATTGTACTATCAATATATGAGTTTATATCTCAACCACATGATTATTTACTAGCTATGTGTAAATAGTATTGGGCAAGTTAGTCTCTGTGTGTCTGTTTTCTCATCTATAAACTAGAAATAATATATGACTCATGATTGAATGAATAACTGTATGCAAAACTTTTAGTAGACAGGTAGTAAATATTAAATTTGCTATTGAATAATATATATGAATAATATTGTTTAATTCTCTTGGGTTTTTTAGGTTTTATGTATCATCTGCAAATTATTATTTTGTCTTTTATAAAACTTTTGAAGAGAAAAACATTTTAAATACTAAATGATGGATAATTTTGTAATTTTTTTCTCTCTGGGAATAGTAAAAAAAAAACAAAAACTTTAATTTGTAACTGGCTAGTGGTTGAGGGAATCTTTTTTTTTTTAATTACTTTTTTGATTAAGGTATCAGATATTTGTCCTCATCCCTCCCATTCCCATCCCAAACCCCTCCCCACACATGCAAGGGAATATTTAAGCCAATTATTTAAAATAAACCAACAACAAAAAACAACCAATTTTCTGATTTACACTATTCATAGAGCATAAAGTGTAACTTTTTAAAATCATATGCATGATTGTAGAAGTATATAGGAAACTGTTCTTTATGAGATTATTTGCTAATTAAATTGCTATGTACCGTATTTTTCGGACCATAAGACGCACTTTTTTTCCCCCAGAAGTGGGGGGGAAAAGTCCCTGCGTCTTATGGTCCAAATATAGCCTACACATATACTTTAAAAAAAAGTTTTTTTACTTGCCCGGCTCTGTGTGGTCTCTGTGTGCTTGCCCGGCTCTAAAATGGTTCTAAATGCTGCTGTTTACTTTACAGGGTTGATTACATGTGTTTATGACTGTGATGTTGGGTTTTAATGCACATAAAATATTTTAGGACACTATTTGTTTCAGAATCTTTTTTTCTTCATTTCCCTTCTCTAAAAACTGGTGCGTCTTATGGTCCGGTGCGTCTTATGGTCCGAAAAATATGGTAGTTGTTACTTTTTATTTTCCAAGACCTTTTATTTAAAGACTAGTGGCCCAGAGCATGAAATTCAGACCAGCCTGCATCCTCTCCAATTGGGGACTCCTTGGGGGATGTCCAACTGCCAGTTTAGGCCCAATCCCACAGGGCCTAATCTGGCGGTCGGACATCCCTCTCACAATCTGGGACCACTGGCTCCTAACCGCTCACCTGCCTGCTTGCCTGATCACCCCTAACTGCCTCTGCCTGATTTTCCCTAAACCTTCTGCCTGCCTGCCTGATCACCCTTAACCTCTTTGTCTGCCTGATCTCACCCTCAACTGCCTTCCCTGCTGGCCTGGTTCCCCAACCGGCCTCCCTGCTGGCCTGATCTTGCCCACAACTGCATCTCTCTTCTAACTGCCTGCCCTCCACTGCCCGTCTAATCTCACCCCTAACGTCCCTCCTCTGCCAGCCTGATCTCTCCCCCAACAGCCCTCCCATGCTGGCCTGATTTCGTCCCCAACTGCCCTCCTCTGCCGGCCAATTTGGTTCTGATTGGTCTGTTTCTATGCCAGTCAGCGTCAAAAGCTCTGCCTCCTACACAGCCATTGGCTCCTCACATTTCACCCAGATTGGTCAGTTTCTATGCTAGTCACTGTCTCTGGGCCTGTCAATGTGGCCTGATCAGAAAGGCAGGGCTGATCAGCAGCCCTGGTGAAGGTCTGGAGAGAAATGGGGCCTTTCATGTACCTAAAATATTTCTAGTTCTGTGGTAACAGTCAAGACAACTGTACCTAACAAAAGGACTTGATCAGGCATAAAATGCATAATTTTTCCATTCAGATTGCATTAAGGTATCACATATTTGCATTAAGGTATCACCATTATTGATTAAGGTATCACATATTTGTCCTCATCCCTCCCATTCCCATCCCAAACCCCTCCCCACACATGCAAGGGAATATTTAAGCCAATTATTTAAAATAAACCAACAACTAAATCTTCTGGATTTGAGAAGATATATTTAGAATGTTTGATGCTTTTAAAAGAAAATTTGTTGCTATACTTAAATACTGCTGTTTTATAGTAGTATGTAACTTAGCTCTACTTTAGAAGAGTCTAATATGTATAATTAGTTTGAAACTACAGTTGTATAAAAACTATTAAATTTTAGAATAGTTAAAATAACTCAGAATTTTGATTTGAAAATAGTATAAAATGTGTTCTTTTAAAGCTCTGTTTTGTAACTATTTCTCCTTCTGATTTTTCTAATGTGTCAGTGTCAGACCAATTCGTTTTTGTTAATCTTCACCCAATAATATTTTTCCATTGATTTTTATAGAGAGTGTAAGGGAAGGGTAGGGACAGAGAAAGAGAGAGAAACATCTTTGTGAGAGACATATTGATTGTTTGCCTCCTGCACGCACCCCAACCAAGGTTGGGGATCGAGCCTGCAACCAAGGTATTTGCCCTTGACCAGAATTGAACCTAGGACCCTTTAGTCCATTGGATCAATGCTCTATCCACTGAACCAAACCGGCTAGGGCCAGTGTCAGCCCAATTCTTCACTGGAAACCAGAGTGATCTCTGATAGTTCCCCCTCTGGTGATTCTTTACCCACCTCCTTTTCCCTGTACATCAACCATTTCAATAGAGCATCTAACAGTGTGCTTCTACAACCAGAATGCCTCTTTTTTGTAGCCCCACTTCTTTTGTTCTAATTTAGTATTTTCTATTTGCACTCATTTTTTGCGGTTTGAATTATCTTCCCAAACACAGTTTGACTGTTTTGCTTTCTTAGTGAATACAATTTTTTCTCTTTATTGCTGTAGTTGGCAGCCATTTTTGTATGCCATTTAAGAAGACCCTTTACATTTGGCCCCAACGTAATCTTTTATTTCCCATCTTCTTATGCCTCAGTGTGCATTGATGTTGACCCTATCTTCTTTTCTTAATTACTCTATTATCTAGTCACTAATGTTTCTTATTTTGTATTCTGGTCATGTCACTAACTTTTATCACATCCTCACTGTGGAAGACCACTCATCTATATTCACATGAGATGTTACCATTCTGCAAAGCATTTCTATTACCTAACCAGTGTTTAGAATTATTTTCCTCTGGTAATACTTTATACTTCCTTTAGAACATTTGCCATACTGTGCCTTAAAATATATAATTACTTCTATAATTCATTTTCTTCCTTCAATAGATTATAATCTATTTGATGATATGGCCCATGTATTATTTAATTAAGATATTTTGATGGTTGCTTAATATAAGACAGGGAATATACAAGCATGTACTTACCTGTGCACATTTTTATTTGTTCATTTTTATACATTTTAATTATCTATGCATAACATTGCCATTTACTAGGATAGTAGTAGTCTGTGAGGAAACAAAAATTCAATATAACATGTTTCTTGAGAATTACTATTCTACTAGGGGGGGAAAAGGATGATGCAATAAACCGAAAGGCATTATATACTAGTAGTAATGCCATGAAATTCACATCACTCACTAATAGACAGTATGCATTTATATACATATAGGAAGTATTTTGATTTGTCCTTTGATATTGTGTTATCTCCATCTATTATATGGTTGCATGTATATTCATTAGGCTTTTTTCTTACCAATTTGATACACATTACTTATTTGTATATACAAGTCATGAACTATGCTTGCAAAATAAAAAACTTTTATTTAGGTAATTTTATTTTTAATTTAAATAAACTGAATTTAGAATTTAACTTAATATATTATCTAAGAATTAAGGATTCACTTATGAATTTAGAGACTGACTTTAAAGTGAAATAATGATTCTGCTATAGTTTCATTTAGAATAACTTGAAAAAACTTTCATGGTAATAAAAAATTTCATTTTATTTGCACAGTTTAATTTTACCCAATTGGGAATTTATTATATAATGTTTTGTTTTTCTGAAGAAGGAGAAATGTGGGTTTGACTCTCACATATCTATGATGTATTGTACAGATTTGTAACGTGTAAATGCATTGTTCTTTGTACTTTCTTTATGCTCTAATATAATTAATTTGTTTTTAGATGCTGGCATCACCATCTACATCAAGTCAGCTGTCTCAGTTTGGGGCAAGTTTATACGGGCAACAAAGTAAGAATTTTGTATTTATTCTGAAATACTTCAAAGAAAAAAAACAACAACTACCAAATAAAGAACAACCAGTGCTGCTCTTGTGGGTTTGTTCTAGGGTTTAAAAGGAAAGATATTTAATTTTTAGCTTTTCTTATTTTACTTATATAAAATTTCATTATATCAGACCTTTCTAAGGCTAGATTAAAATTCATTTCTGCATCTTATGCATCTGTATATTCTTTTGCAATAATTTTGAAGAAGAATTTGCTAAACAAAACTAGACATCCAATTTTTTTTTCAATTAGAGGAAGTTAAAGGGTTTTTTGTTTGTTTGGTCAGTTGATTATAGGTAGTTTGTGGTTTTTGGCCTTTTTAAAAATGTGTGCTCATTTACTTAGCCATTTGTCAAATGTTCTCTTTGTTTAGCAAATATTTCTTCTTTCACTTTATTTCAGTCTAGGTATAGAATTAATGTTTTTGATTCACAGTTTAATGCATTTTCTGTATACAAGAATTTATTTCTTATTAAGTACTAGAGAGGCCTAGTGCATAAAATTCACCAGGGTGGGGGGTGTCCCTCAGCCCATCCTGCACTCTCTCACAATCTGGGACCCCTTGGGTAAGCTCCCTAGGCTTGGCCAGCAATCAGGGTCTATCGGGGCTTTCCTTCTCCCCCCCCCCCATTGCCCCCCCCCCCCTTCCAGCTGCTGGTTGCAGGCAGCGGGCCCCACCTCTGCCGCTGCCACTGCTTGCCATCTGTGCGGCACTGCCCACCCCCCCACCCCCACCCCCAATGGTCGCCTCTCTCTGCAGGCAACAGATGTGGGGTGAGATCGCTTGACTGGCTTGGGGCTCCCTCTGCGAGGTAATCTCTGGCTGGTGTCCTGGGCCTCCCCCTGATCATGGGGCTCTGCAATAGATTGCCCAGCAGAGGGGGGCCTCACTCACTCAGCTGGGGCTCCGCGATTGATCCCTGCACAGAGGGTGGTCTGGACCTCCCTCTTTGGAGTGATTACATAGGTCTTCTCTCCTGCCCCCCCTCCCCCCACCCCCCCATAAATCACCCTGCCAACTGGTGGCCTGGGCCTTCCTCTTTGGGGAGTCAATTGTAGGGTCCCCTATCAATCACCCCGCAGAGGGTGACCTGGGCCTCCCTCTGCAGGGCGATCGTAGGACTATGGTGGGTCCCCCCAACCAATCACATCACATTTGTCTTGGCTGGCCTGGCACCAGTGTGTGTCATAGCATGGTCATCCAGAAGGTCATCCAGTGGTCATTCTTCTGTTCAGTCATTTGGTCAATTTGCATATTATGCTTTTACTATTATAGATTGTAATTCTCTTATAGCGCTTAGCACAGTGCCTGGCGCATAGTAAGTGCTCAATAAATGTTAGCTATTACCACAAAAATATTTATAATTCTAAACTATAAAATCTTCCTATTTTAAAAAATTAATTTTCCAAACTGATATATTAATAATATTTTATCACCTCTGTTAATGTCAGAGACTGCTGATCTCTTATTTCTGTTAATGAGAGGGAGGGGACTGTTAAAAGGAATATAAGTTACCAGCATAGATTATAGAATAATAATAGAGAAGACAGTCTAATGGTCAAGTATCTTAACTAGCTTCAAATGAAAATCAGTTATTTGTTTTTAAACTCTTTTCCAATATAATAAAAAAAAGTTTTTTAAGTATCAGAATAGTTATCATACTACTTGACCCTTCAAACGTCTTTTGAAGGTTAGTAGGGGGAAGTGTTTGTGTTAGAAATGTAGTTTACATCTCTTTTTTTCTTCCTCTTGTGGGCTTTCTCTTTTGTGTGAAACACAATTTTGTTAATATATAATTAGTAAATAATATTATTAAGTACTTATAGATGTTAGCAGTTTTGAGAACATATTTAAAGAGCTTTTTAAAATAGAAAAGGTGTTGCTTATTTACCCACAAGGGTTCATTATTGTTGTTGGGAAAGTATTATTAGCTAGTAATTTATTTCTTTTAACCTGTGTTTTAGTATTAAAATACTCTTTTCACCTTTCTGGTTACCCTTACCAAGGAAATAAATGACTAATTATTTTAAAGCTACCCTTTATATCTGTAGAGTAACTGTGAAAAACTTACTTTGTTTTCTTTTTAAAGTCCACAATTTATCACAGTAGTAAATAGATGTGTTTAGAGAAAAAATTACATTTGAGAAACTAAGGTTATTTTATGAAGAATGGCAATTATCGGGTCTAGTAATAATTAATGTCGTTTTTAAACATTCGTTTAAAATCTTGCTTGGCGTTGACTTGTATTGACATAACCTTCAAACATGTGGTATCTACAGAACGTGTGAAGTGCAATTAACAAGTTTTGCCTGAAAAAGTTTGTGTTTGGTTTGGTTTTTGTTGCAAAACTAGGGCTAAGAAGATGGCGGATGAAGAGCATATTCGGCACTGCATGCTTTACTAGTTCCAATTAGGAAGAAAAGCAAATGAGGCTGCAAAAAACATCTATAGTGCTCTTGGTCAAGATGCAGTTAGCGCCAGAAAATGCCAGCGTTGGTTTGAGAAATTTCGCGAGGGAAATTTTTCGTTAGATGACAAGAGTGGTCGAGGCCGTGTGTCCAATTTTGATCAAGAAGCTCTTCAAGCTCTTTTGGTGCAAAATCCTCAAATTACCCAACAAGAGCTTGCGACAACTTTAAATTGTTCGCAAAAAACAATTTCCAATCAATTGCGTGCACTTGGCAAAGTCCAAAAGTTTGGAAAATGGGTTCCTCATGAGTTGACCGACGACAACCGTAATCAGAGAGTCACAATTTGCAGTTCGCTCCTCTCTCGTCAAAACCATTTGCCGTTTTTAGAGCAAATTGTTACCGGAGATGAACAATGGGTGCTGTATGTTAATTTGAAAAGGCGGCTTCAATGGTTGGACAAAAATGAGGCTCCGCAGCCCACGCCAAAACCTGACTTGCATGCGAAAAAAGTGATGTTGTGTGTTTGGTGGAATTTTAAAGGAATTCTTCATTATGAACTTTTACCATCTACCCAAACCATTACAGGTGCAGTGTATAGTGCCCAATTGGAAAGGTTAGCCCAAGCTTTAAGAGAAAAAGAACCCGCGCTGATTAATCGGAAGGGCGTAATTCTTCACCACGATAACGCCCAACCGCATACTGCAAGAATCACTGCTGAAAAACTGCACCAGTTGGAATGGGAAGTTCTCCCTCAACCTGCATATTCTCCTGATATTGCCCCTTCCAATTACCATTTGTTTCGTTCTTTGCAAAACTTTCTTCTTGGAAAAAAATTTAATAATGAAGAATGCCTCAAAAATGCATTGACTGAATTTTTTGCATCAAAATCACAAAAATTTTAAAACAGAGGGATTAAAATGCTTCCTGAGCGTTGGGCACAAGTAGTAGAAAACAACGGCAACTATATTGTTGATTAAATTTTGTTGTACTGTTTAAATAAATTCGATTTTAAAAAGTATTAGAAAACGACATCAATTATTACTAGACCTAATATTTTACAACATAATCAGTTATATGGATTTTAAAACTCTATCTAATTTTTCTAAACCTGCAAATGTGAAATTGTAATTGGGCCAAGCTGTGGAATGGATTAGGTTTTAATTATGGTTCTTTTATTGCTATGATGGACATTTATTGACTTTTTAATTTGCGTAAATAATTGTGCTGATTATTAAGGATATACAAAAATTATTAAATGAGCAAAGTTATTTTCATTAGAAAATGTATTTAAGGTCCTTATTAGTTTAAAAACAAGTTACATATGACATGTACTTCCCAATGGAGGTTAATATATTAAATGGCTATATTCCTTTAGTATTGGTGAAGCAGCATTTTTAATGCATAGCTCACTCTTTAACTGACATTGTTGGCATTAATTAGCCTACAGAGAAAATGAACCTTAGATCAATTGGTACTAAAGTATTTCAAGTCAGGGTACAATTATTTCTTTCCAGCATATAAATTTAGAAGCTACAAATTGTAAAAAAAGACAGAGCCTGGATTCCCAGTCTCTGTCAGTTAGCAGGACCAAGTCAAATCATTTAGCTGGTAAGTAGTTTGAACACGTACCCTGTTAGAGAGGAAAACAGATGCTACTCTGTGGGGTTTGAGGGCTAGGGTTTAATAGTATAACCAAGTCAGAATGATAAAACTTGAGGGGCTGACCTTAATAAAGGATGAGGAAGTAGAAGGAATAAGTAGGTGGGAATATATTACTGATGCTTGTCTTATGGCAGTTAATTGTAATTTGCATTGGCCTTGATATAACTAAAAGTTCTTTTTGTCTCCCAGTTGTATTGAGTACCACCATTAACTCTATATTCAGATTGTCAAAGTTCGGTAGGAATTTGTGCCATTAAAATGGAGGTCTGCTCTGTGTGTGTGTGTGTGTGTGTGTGTGTGTGTGTGTGTGTGTGTGTGTTAATGATTAGAGAGAGGTTATCGGAGTAGAGGGAAGAGTGCTATCTCAAAAACTGAGACTCACTGAGATTAATCAAAGGAAGAAATTCTTCTTGGAATGGATACAAAACTGCTTAAACTTACGTTTTGTCAGATTTGGGTGGAAGTGTTTGCATAGTACATAAAGTACCCAAAAAATGATTGTATCCAAATAAATTTTCACCCAGAAGTTCATGAATACCATGCACCAAATGATAACTATGGAAGCCAGTAAACAGAATCTTGTATTCAAGATTGCATGATGTTCTCTACTCCTTTGATAAGATTTTAGATATACTTTACAGGTTTCAATATGCCTGTAAGCTTCCTGAAGCTGTCTTCTAGATTAAAATGAACAGGGAATGAGGAATTAATTTCTCCTGGATATTCATTGCCTTGAAATTAAGTGGCAGTAGAGCTGGAGTGACTTTTCCTTGCTTACTAAGAAGCTATTTACTATTTTCTGGGTGCTTTCTATATGCCTGTTATCTTAAAGGCGCCTGGGTAAACTATAGCTATCTGGATGAATCCATTATACACATTTGTATCTGAATT